CTCCCTGCAAATCTTAATCCTCCTCCTCCGTTTTTTTTTTCCCCCCTTTGGTTTTCTGAGATAGGGTTATACTGTGTAGTTCAGACTGGCCTGGAACTTACTATGTAGCCCAGACTGGTCTAGAATTCACAGCGATCCTCCTGCTTCAGTTGCCCAAGTGCTGGGATTACAAGCTTGTGCCACCATGCCTGGATTCCTCCTCCTTTTTGAAAAAGCTCTATTTCCATTTTTTCTTTGAGACTCTCTTTTTTAAATCCCTTTCCCCTTCTTCCTTCAATTTCATCTTGATGTTAATCCCATTTGAAAAAGATATTTTTACTTTATGTTATCTGTCCTTTATTGACTCTTTATTTATATTTTGAGTTCTCATACCAGAGAAACCACGTGACATTGAAGCTTGCATGTTTATTCCAATTAAATTAATGGTCTTGAGTTGCTTTGATATTCCTGCAAATGCCTGAAATGTATCCTTCTTTATGGCAGAGTGTATTCCCCTGTGTGTAAACACCACATTTTCTTTATTCACTTATCTAATGATATATATATATATATGGCTGGCTTCCTTGATTTAGCTATTATGAACTATGTTGATATAAACACGGGTATGTGTGTGTCACTGTGCTATGATGACTTTAACTCATTAGGAAAGATATTCCTTCTAGAATAATTTAGCACAAACTCAGTGCCATAAAGTGAGCAGTTTATCACTTTCTAATTGTGTAGAACAAAATCTATGGACTAAAGTCAAAATATTGTCAGGTGAATTCCTTTGGATGTTGGAAGTGTGAATCTGTTCCTTTTCTATTTCTAGAGTTTTCTCACACCTCTTGCCTGAAGGTCCTCTTCCTCCATGGACTTCAGAGCCTGCAACATTTCATCTTTCTGAAACGTGTTCCTTAGTCTGCTTTCCCTATCTGCTCTCCCAAAGTGGACACTGAGAAACACTTCTTACCTCTACCAATGAATACAATTTTGGGTTTAAGCAAACCTACCTTCCAGTCCTCATAGATCATGTTAACTAATAGAATTCCACTTTCCTTGTGTGGTGAGGGAGAACTTTGTGTCTCCATGGAAACAAGGTGCTAACCAATCCCATTAATGTGTTCTCGTCACATCAGAATTCAGCTTCTGTTTGAGTCATAGAGCTACAGCTGGGCTCAAGAGTCTTACATAAAATAGGCAAACTTTGAGACCCCAGAAGCATCTTCAAGCTGTCTGTATGGAAATGGTGCTCACCAAGTTTCTTGCTGTTTTGCTGTCAATGACAGAAAGGCAAACATGTCCTTTGTTTCCTATGGAGGAATAGCTTATTTTGGGTGGTGTTAAGTGAAAGTGCAGTAGCCTACCATTAAGAATTTAATATCTCACAAGGCTATATATTGATTTTGAAATCTATAAAGACCCAATACTATATAAAATAAAAAAGAAAAGGAACATGCCCACTTTTCTCTAGCATAAGACAAGATAAACAGACTCTGTGATGTTCCACATTAAAGGAAACATGCGTACAGGGGATATGACACCCCTTATCAATGTTCCCATGCAGCCAGCTGTGGGGCTCAAGTCTGCTCAAGATGAGGGAAGGTGGACTATGCGGAGCTCCTGGTAACTCTCCAGGGAGCTGGATCTGTTCTGTGTCCTACGTATGGCTGTGGGTACATAGCTGTGCATTCCCCAACACCCCATGAAAATAAATACCGAACAGGTGGCTCATAATGTGTGTAAATTCTACCTCTAAAACTTTAAAACATTTTGTAATTGAACATAGAATCTGTCTCTCAGCTGTTGGGAGGCCAATAAAAACAGGACAATGTGTGAATTTATCACCATTTTTATATGGAAAAAATTTCACTTCCTAAGTGTGACTGAGCATTCTCCTAGTTAAAAGTCAAAGGTAATTTTGATATTCTGTCACTGAATAAAATGTAAGTGTTGGTTTGAATGATATTATAAACATGAACATAGTAGAAGATACAAATGCACATTATTATGGCTATTTCTTCTAGAAAGAGTGACTGTGCAAAGCTAGCCAGATAGCCTAGCTGGTTTGTGCTCTGGGGCTTGGGTCGAAAGTTCAGCCAGTGACCACATGGGGTGACATCCTGCTATGAGCCTTGAGAACTTGATCAGCATGGTGGAATCATCCTGGGTTCCTGTGCTTTGAGAATTTTTGTAGCTTATATGTAGTTCTCTCAACATAGATTTACACACTCACAGGTTTCTAGAGCTGGCTGGATTTAGTGCATTTGATTCTGTTGTTAAGGGTGTGTGATACTACTTTAGTTCACAGATTGGAATTAGAATAGTTGTTGGTGTCTATAATGGAAGCCCCATCCTGCATGTGGGTGGGACCAGTCAATGAAGCCTAGATGGGAAAGATGGAAGGTAGGCTTGCTGCCCCTGAATGCTCCATCGCTGTCTCCTAGTTGCTTGCCATGGACTATTTCTCTTCTGTGATGCCCGTCTGCCATGCCACCTGCCTTAAAGCCAGACGACTACAAACCTCTACTCCCTATGAGCTGAAATATGCATTTCCTGCTTTAACTGTGGGTGTTGGATATTGTGATAGTTGTGTCAATCTGAGTGAGAAACATCCAACTAAATTGTCTCAGCGTAGTTCTCGGTGTGGAAAACCCACTGTAGGTGGGGCTATTTCCAGAAAGGAAAGGTGAAGCAAAGAAGGAATGTTTTCTTCAATTTATTTGGAGACGCTCTGGTCTTCCCGGTCCTCTTAGGTGTCATCTCCTGGCCTCCAGTGCAGACTCTTCACCCTGCTGGTGCAGACCGTTTGGCTTCCTGATATGGATTCACAGGGGCACTGCAGTGGGCTCCAGAGCCTGGACGGGATGCCTTAGATTCGCAGTGCACAGACAGCATTTTTGCACTCTTTCACACCTGACTCTGTGGGAAGCCATTGCAAGCTACTCTTCAGAATTCTTATATAGTTATAGTATATCTTGTATGAAGTCTGTTTCACTAGTAAGCACTGAGTGATATGAAATTTTTGTCTCAACCACAACAAAAGGAACTAAGATAAGCATCTTGATGCTACTTCATTCAGATTCTCACAGTAGCCAGAGTAATCAGTCAAAAGAAAATGATCCAAACTAAAAAATAATCAAATTATCCCCTTGCTTTTACTGTTCAAAGTCTTGTTTTCTGTTTTGAAATTCACTGCCATCATCCCCAAGCTTCATCTGTGGCTCCTCTAACTGCCTGTTCTGTTTGCCATCTTTGGGGAACTTGAAACCCCTGATGTCTGGGTCTGCATCCAGAAGGGTCGGAAGAGACTGGTGTGAATGTGGATGGACTTGAAATTTCTTCTGCTTTTCTTTTCCCTCCTCTCTCTTCTTTCCCCTTTGCCTTCCCTTCCCTCCCCTCCCCTCCCCTTCCCTCCCCTCTCCTTCCCTTCCCTTCCATTTGCTTTGTACTGTTTTTCTTTGGATTGATTCATGGCCCTCACATGCTTACAAAGCTCTACAGCACTGAGCTATGCTTGCAGCTCCAGAATTGAGACTTTTCCTAGGCTGTTCAGGTGGTACCAGTGTGGTCAGCTCTGACCTCTCCCTACTGCATGCCCCTGCTTACCAGGTCTCTTGTTCTCCCCTGAGCCGACCATCTGGGCTTCCTTTCTATCTCTGAAGGTTTTGAGTTTTTCTTCCCGTTAGGGTCTTCTGCTTCTCACTACCAATCTTCCTGCCTCCAAGCCTTCCAAGCCAGCCTAAAATTCCATTCCCATTATGACTTTGGCTCTGGTGATGGTTTGGGGGTCTCTTTCCCTCAGGAACATGGGCTTTGGAGGGAGGAGCTTTGACCATGAGAAGCTCTCACCACTGTTGTAAGTGGAAGCCCTTGACCTTCACATACACATTATATTTTCCACACTGCCAGTCTTCTTCACAGTGATGACAAAACCCCAGATTCCAAACATCATCCATTTTCCTGGAGTCCCTGATGCCTCATGTAGGTTAGAGTGAGGGGAGTGAGACCTATGAGTTGGGTGTGAGGTTTGAGGAACTCAAACATTGTTAATTCTGTTATATATCATTTAAGGAAGTATTTAAAAATTAAAATGAATCTGAAAACTTCCTTAGTATGAAAAAATTCAGAATTTTAAGTAATAGCAGGCCATGTAAGGGACAAAGAAGTGCCAAAGGGAAATGTTTTAATGAGTGGCAATATGCCGTTTTGCACATTATTTACTTCATGTATTTGTGGGTGTCATGTCTTTCTCACCAGGTGGAATGAAGGGGCCCACTGATAGTAGTGTCACAAGTGTAGGAAGTGTAGGAAGGAATGCCTGGGCCCTTTAAGAACAACCATCCCTAAAAGGAATGATCAATTCACTCATTTAAAGTTACATCTCAAAAACGTTAAACATTTATTTACTTGGTATGTTTTAAACTAAAAAGTCATTCTTAAAATATATTTATTCACTTTTACAAATGTTCAATATCCTATTTACAGGTAGTGATTATAAATATTTGCTTGTAATATGGTCAACAAATTGTATCATGACAATCACCCCAGAAAATATTTTATTAGAAGCATAAATTGAAGTTTACATTTTAAGTGGTAAGAAAGCTTCAGGAAAAATCACTAGATAGCAAAGGCAAGAAGGATCAGAAATGGAAATATGGTCAAATTTTCCCTCTATCTGATGTGACCATCCGGTGAAGGAAATGTCTAGGTGTAATCATGAAAGAAAGGAAGAAGTGTGACTACGTTGTCTTTTTTTCACAAGCTGATACTAAACTTCATCTGGATGAACATAGGTACAAGGTGTACTGGGGAGAAACAGGGATTAAAGAAATTATGTTACCATAAGAGAGAAATTGTACCCTCAGTCTGAGTCAATGTTCTGGAAGCCCAGCTGGTCCCTCCCCAGCTGCTTTGCCTGTGCTGCCTTCCCCAAACCCACACTGCTGTCCAGAGGTCATATCAATGCTAGAGGCAGAGCTCTGGAAAGATTCTGCCTCCGGTGTGCCCCAGACTGAGATATGGAAGCCCTAGGTCAGCTCCTTTGTCTCCTGTTAATCTGGTGCCCAGGTGAGGGCAGTAGGGTATGGTTTTGCCGGTCTGTGACCTCTGAGTGTCATTGAAACCCCTGAGTCGGTGCCTCTGTTCAGCATGAGTAATAGTTATAGCTCACTGCAGTGCAATGATCCTGACTCTCCTGGGACGACATGGCCATGGGATATCATCTAGATTATGTGGTGACTCTTCTGTTTGATTTCCTATCTTAGGTATCACTGGAGAAGCTGTGACGACACAGTCTCCTGCTTCCTTGTTATTGTCTCTAGGAGAAACAGCCACCATGACTTGCAAGATGGGCCAGAGTGTTGGCAGCTACCTAGCCTGGTACCAGCAGAAATCTGGGCAGCCTCCCAGGCTCATCATCTATGGTGCATCCACCAGGGCTCCTGGCATCCCACCGAGGTTCAGTGGAAGTGGGTCTGGTACAGACTTTACCCTCACCATCAACAGCCTGGAGCCTGAGGATGTTGGAACTTATTACTGTCAGCTGATGAGTGGCTGGTGTCCCCCAGTGGTTCAGTGTGAAACAAAAACCTCCAAGAGACCATCTGAGTGTTTTGATTTACCAGCTGCTTCCTCTATGGGCAGGTGCACTGGTGATCGCTCAGTTTTAGCATTTCTGCCTGTATTTGGAAATTTAGACGTACCGAACTGGAACTTCATGGCAGGATTGTTTTACTCTGTTTTCCAGAATTTTTCTGGGATTTACTTATCCAGCTGGTTTCAGGAAACACTTTCGTGCTAAAGACATCTGAGTACTCACATGAGTGGGTGTCTCTAAAGGCATACATGCCATGCCCTGTAAGAAGGCAACACCACTGACATCAACAAACTTCAAACTCCAAGTGAAGAATTCAAAGTACAACTCATAGAGATTGTGTGCAGAGAAGAGTCAAATAAGAAAAGCAGAGATAATAGATTTAATAAGAGAAATGACAACCCATTGGATTCATGCTCAATATACAGTAATCAATGTGATGTCTATAGAACTATAAAACTTAAGAACACTAAAGTTATACTGCACCACATACCACAGCATACACTGTTAAGTATAGAGAAAAACCTCGAAGGATGTATGATGTCTCCACCCTGAAATCTCCAGAACGTTGTTCAGTAAAATTGAAAAAAAGTGCTGGGGATTTAGCTCAGTGGTGCTGCTGTCAGCCTTGCAAGCACAAGGTCTGGCGTTCGATCCCTGGTACCAAAAAACAAAAAAACAGAAAACAAAACAAAAAGTTTGAAGAAATCCTAACGACATTACCATGGAGAAAAGAAGGTCCTTTCAGGAGTGATGTAGGATCCCATGGGCATCATGTTTTTTAAAGAAAAGAGTGCACAGAAATCATCACAGAAAAAAACAAAACAACAACAACAACAACAAGAAAACCCTCAAAATCATCATAGACGTAGGAATAAAATTCAAAACCTCACATTTTCTGCAAGACAACATAGATACTTGTGTCTGGTGATAACTTTTAGGTATAAAACCAATCATAATTCAGGAATAATCCTTGATTAGTTGGAATACATCATCTCTTCAATTTCAGAATGAAACACGATACAAAATTCATATAATACATTTAAATATGAGACCTTTTAGTTAAAGTCCTAATGGTTTTCACAGGAAAGTCTGTGCACCTCCTTTACAGGCACAGTCATGATTTTTTGACTTCTCTGGTTGTCCTGTTTCCTTCCCCTGCTGCTAAAGACATTTGTTCTCAGTCTACGTCCACTGGGCATGACATCACTTTCCATCCAGTATTAAGAACCGATCAAATGTGCTTTTGATCACCTTTCCTGCAGCCATGGTTTGAAGCCACCCATCAAGTGGGCGGTTGGCCTGACCTGGAGAGGATGCTTATAGTGTGTCCTCTTCACGTCATGCAGATAGTGCAGGTTTAGAGACTTTAAATCTTTGATGTAACTTTCCGCAGTCCACAGGTCACTTGGCAAGGAATTTTCCCACATATTTGCTCTGGGTGTCAGCATCTCAGAAGCAGTGCTGGAAACTACAGCAAAGAACATGAATGACAACACTTTGTCACATTTGGAAAGTCTGTAACTTTCTAAGATTTGTGTTTATTTGTTGAGCTGACCTATTTCCACAGTGAAACACATGCAACTGAAACACATTTTCAAAAACTTCGGCAGTTTCCAAAAGAAGATGTGATGTTAATTCCGCCGTGCAATTCTTTACTCTAGGAAAGATGGCTCTTCTCTCTGATGACTGACTTGGTCCTGGGACAGGACTTGTGTTTTCTACAGCTGAGCCTCACTAGATGGGAAGTAGTTTTGGAAGTGGAGTATCTCCTAGATACTGGATGTTTTCCTTAGAAATCTAAGGATTTCTTTTTTGGAATTTAATGCATATTAATAGTACAGAAAAATGAAATTCATTTTTGTATACTGATATATGTATAATTTTGACTTTTTATTCTAAATAATCTCATCTCCAGTTCCTCCTTCCTCCTCTGATTCCCTTTCTCATGTTCAAAAAACTGCACATCTGAGTGTCTGTTATCACGCCTTTTTTGTTGGTTTAGGTTGCTCATGTAAGAAGAAACATAGAATACCAACATTTTCCATCTGACTTAGTTACCTTGTCATAACATTCTTCACTTCCATACGTTTTCTGCCAATGACATGATGTCATTTTGCTTCATGGCTGAACCATATTCCATTGTATACTTATACATTTTCTTCCTTATTAATCTGCTGTGGGGCAACTAAACCGTTCACTGTGTGGTAGTTCATAAATTAATTGTCAACTTTCATGGGAGGAAATGCCTAGCTGATTGGAGCCTGCGTGGTTCCCAGAATGGTATAACAGAGGAATGGGAGGGAAGGATTTCAGCTGATCTTCCTTGGGGGAGCTTCTTTGTGGCTCATCAGGGATGGCTGCTGTTCTCTTAGAGGAGCTGTGGTCTTTGTGTCTGCCTGGAGCGTTGTCCTCTGACTTCCAATTCAGAGTCTGCAGCTTCCCGCACTGGGTTTCTGGCCTGCTTATGTGCATCCTTTAGCCTCTAGCGTTGATCCTTTGACCTCCTAACACCGAACCTTCCATCTTCTCACCAGATCTTTTCCTTCTGGCTGGGACTCGCATGGGATATTTCTGTGGGCAGCAGGCCTTCAGCTGGATTCTCCAGATCTCTGTAGCACTTGGACAGGTCTCTTTTCCTCTCCTACACTTGACTCTATGGGCCAATATTGTAAGCTAGTCTTGTAAATTTTAATGTCTTGCATTAAATCTAATTCATTCTTTTGAGGGGACTTGCTTCAGCCCTGGAAGGTCTTGTAAGCACTGACTAGTACACACAACAGGGCAATTATGGGGTTCTCCAGAAAAGCATGGGCTTCTCCTTAGCACTAAAGAATGCAGTCTTTCTTAATACTTTTTGGAATATACAAAGGGATAGTCTAGATGGATCAGATGATATTTATGTTTATATTATGTGTAATTTCCATATGATTTCCCCAGTGGTTATACTAGTGTACAATCTTATGAACAGTGTACAAGGGCTTATACACCTACACAACTTTAAATAGCATTCATCGTTTTTTGTGTTCCTCATAGTAGCCATTCTGAGTCATGTGAGAGGGGATTTTGGTGTAATTTTGAGCAGGTTTTCCTTAAGTAAAAACTTATTAATTTCTCCTTAGAAGGAACACCCTTTGGAGATCTCTGCCTCAGAGCTCACAAACACTCCCTTACAAGAACTTCTACAGCAACAGGACCTTATGGCAACCTCTCTCCATGCTGTGTATCTGTGCATTTCCATTTTCCTCTTGCGGAGAGCCATGCACCATTGAGTAAAAGTCTGCTCTGATTCCCTGCAGATCAGTCGGGAGGTTCTGTCACATTCAAAACCTCTCACAAGTCACCAGTCTCTGAGGAGGAAGCAGCTGGGTCCTGAGGAGCCAAATAGGTTTTTGTTGCAGTCTGCAGCACTGTGTGGGTGGATCGTTGTACCACTGATGACAGTAATAGGTTGCAGCATCTTCAGCCTCCACACTGCTGATTGTGAGAGAGTAAGAGGTTCCAGATCCACTTCCACTGAAGCGAGATGGGACTCCCGAGGCCAGGTTTGAGGTGCTATAAACCAAGAGCTTCGGAGAGGCTCCTGGCTTTTGTTGGTACCATTGCAAGTAGCTGGTGCTTACACTGGAGCTGGCCGTGCAGGTGATGGTGACCCTGTCCCCTGGGGAAGCAGCCAGGGATGCTGGAGATTGAGTGAGCACAATTTCTCTGCTGGACCCTATGGTCGTATGCAAAATATGAAAAGAGTTGGAAGTCAGCAGAAATAGAGACACAGGAATATCTTCATACCACACACCATGGAGAAGCAACCAAAAAGAATCTGTTACATTCTGCAAGTTTCATGGAAAAAGGACACTCATTGTTGAGCTTGTGTCTCTTACCTGTGACACTGAGCAGCACCAAGCTCAAAATGTGAGCCTGAAAATTCATTGTGTTTTCTGAGTTCTGCCCCACGCTAAACAGACGTCTTCTCTTAAGATCATCCCTTTAAAGGATTCTGAACATTTTGTGGTTTCTGAGGAACTGATATGCAAATCATCAGGTGTAGGCTCAGGGTGGGATTTTGGCTTATGCAGCCATAAGGTCTGTTCACATTTTATTGTAGAAGTTCAGTCGGTATAAGAGAGGGAAGTTCTCCTATTTTTACCAAATTGGTACACACAACTGATCTAGAGGCTTATGTATTAAAATTTTTATCTTTATTTGTTAGTAGTGTACATTTGCCATGCATAACGATCACATTCACCGTGAGAAATTTGAAGTTTGTGGCTGTACATAATATACCTTACTCATTTTTTCCTCATTTCCCATGATTCTGTTTAATTCTTCCTCTCCCCATTTAGATGTTTCTGTTTCTTAATCTCTCTTTTGAAAAATAATATCTCTACTCTACTTCTCCTTCCCCTACCCCTTTCCTTTGTTCCACTTCCATTTGAGCTAGTTCTTTCTGCTTTGTAGTATTTTGTTCATTTTCCATTTTATTTACACTTTGGGTTTCTCACACGATTGAAAGCATGTGGTATTTCAACTTCTGACCTGAGTTATTTCACTGAATATTCAGGTTTCCAAATGCGACCTTTACTTAAATATGTCTCATGGCTATCCTTCTTTATGGCATATTAGTACTCCACGGTATATAAATACAAAGACCTTTTTTTCTCTTAAGTCTATTGGTACTGTTTAGGTGTATAGTATAGTTACATTCATTGTAGGGATCTTGTACCTTTACATGATGTGTCTTGGTTCTTATTTTTTGCGTATACCCCTGCCTCCACTTCACCCACTCCACCATTCCCTATTTGCAAAACTTTGTTTCCATTTTCCCCTTTTCTTGTATTTTCCTTTTCCCTTCTTTCCTTTCCCCTACCATTCCCAATTCTCTACTTCTTTAGCACTTTTCTTCCTATTTCACATTTTCAATTACACAGTTTGAATCTTGTTTACATGTTTAATTTTTCATAGCAGAGAAACTATTTGGTATTTACACATGTGTGTCCTGCTTATTTGTTTCACTTAAGAGTATGGCCTCAATATGCACCCATTTATCTATAAGTGTCTCTGTTTTCTCTTTCTCTATGCTGAGTAGTACCTCATTTTATAGAAAAAACACATCTTCTTTATCCAGTCTCCAGTTGATGGGCAATTGGACTGTTTCTAATATTTATCTAGCACAAACTGTATCGCTATAAACATGGGTGTGCATATAT